TTAACTGATGTAACTTGTTAGAATGGTTGAGGCTAGATTGAAAATCTAGGTCACGGTGCGATAATTGGATCCAATTGTATGTGTTGAGGTTTAGTCCAATACTATGTGTCGAGGTATACAATTTGTTAGCCAAGCCTTCGCTCTCGGATTATATGGGATCGTCGAAACTCACACAGTTTGGACGGGTTACTTCCGAGAGTTCAGGTATATCCAGACCCAACCCGTTGATCCCAACCTGTTTAAACGTCATAGTTGATCCTAACAAATTTTTATTGTCTCCCCACTTGGATTATAAACTCTTGTTAGTACTAAAAAGAAATAGATAATTGGATCAATGTGTGTTAGAAGAAATACTGACCTTTGAATATTATCTACCATAACTCGAGGTCAGATGATTCTACAAAAAAATATCAAAAATCATTGCTCGTTCCCAAGAAAATTCATTAAGTACAAAAGCTATATAGAAAATACAAATTTGCTCAAAAAACAAATTTAAAAAATTAGATAAAACAATTTGTTTTTTTTTAATAAACCGTGAGAGTCCTAAACCTTTGGCTCAAAATCTCCTCGGTACCTGAAGGGAGTCTATGGATATTTCGATTTGAAGAATAACCATCCGTATCAAATGGGGTTTGAACCCGGAGCACAATTGTTTTTTTTTTAAAACATGTTGAAGTGGTATTTTATCTCACTCTCTAGTCGGGATTCATAAGGGAATCGAACCCATTCTTGTGTGCATTGTCTTAGATTATTGAGGCATGGTTGTAGTCTTAGATTGGGGCTTGATCTTGTGTTTGTTGATGAGACTACGTTTTTTTGCTTACATTTCCAAAGAGGATGGTAACAGGAGACGAGTTTCCATACTTAAATGGGTAAAAAATGTCAAGTACATGCATATTGGAAGTTTCCAATCAGCAATTTCGGCATGTCGGTGCCACCGTAACACCCTTCCATGGTATTTTGGCAGAGTCTTTATTTTTCGTAACTCCCATGTCAATAATTTTATGGTGTAATTGAAAGCTGATTCAACCAGCTTTCTCCTCGATGTTTTGTATTAAATTTGGA